ATTAACCCAATACTCCTTTATTTATGTTGTTGCTCAAATTGTTCCAGCTTAAGCAATTGGGCTCTTTCAGTTGCTCTTGTGTCCCTTTGACATAACTCATCACTGTGGTTTATTATTTTTTTAATTAAAAATATCTTTAGCATGTGCTTACTTTCTGCCACTCCAAGATTCTCCAGGCTCATCTTGTATATTTCCTGCCCCTGGAATCATCTGTTTCTCTAAAGAGCCCTACTTCGTTTTGTTGGAAAAATAGTATATCAAGATCTGGGCACTAGTTGTGTGCCTTAATTCATACAGGCTGCTGTAACAAACTACCCCAAACCGAATTGCTTATAAACAACAGAAATGTATTTAGCGCAGTTCTGGAGGTGAGAGGTCCAAGAGCTGGGTGTCAGCATAGCTGGGTTCTGGTGAGGGCCTTTTTCTGAATTGCAAACTGCTGTCTTCTTCTTGTAACCCGACATGACAAAAGAACAAAAAGAATGACAGAAAGCTGTCTTGTGTCTTTTTGTGAGCTCTAATCCCATTCATGAGGTCTCCAACCTCTGGCTTAATGACCTCCCAAAAGCCCCACCTCCTAATACCATCACTTATGGGGACCAGGATTTCAACATATGAATTTGGGGAGGCGTGGGGAGCATAAACATTCAGTCCATAGCACTGGGCCTGTTGCTACCAGCGTGTTATTGTTTCTAGGCCCTGTCAGCTGACAAAGCAAAGAAAAAACTGTGTGTAAATGCTTTTTTGAAGCAAATGGGTGTATGTATATTCATACTTTTATATTTTTTTTATCATTTCCACATGAATTTTGTGTCTGTGTCCCTGTTGGGAAGAGGTTGTTCAATATGTGGGCTGAGTATCCCATTTTGAGCCTGAGGCCCATTGGACACGAACTAGATGTTCTCTAATGTGTTTATATGAACTTGACATGGAATACTTTCCTTTTTTTGGGAGATAATTTTCCAAGGATCTCTTGTGTTTCTCTATAAATATAAGTAGAGTTACTATCTTTTCATAAATGTTTGTTTAGTGAACAACAGCCTTGTTATATATAGTGTCTCCTTCCAGAGCAAGAGCAGACTTTTTTACTCTCCAGTGCATAAAGAACAATGTCTCCCTCTAAGGCAAAATTCAGGCAGGTTTGTGTGTAGCCCATTTTAAAAGATTTGGGTTCCCTGAGCTCCAGGTTCCTCAGCTGTGATGAAACCTCCTACATGCGCAGCATCCTTCTGGGCATCTCCCCTCTGCCTCATAACATTTGGGGGCAAGAGGAACAACACAAGCATGAAGCTTAACCTCCTTACAGTGTTGTGAGTAACAACATCATTTGTCCCATCATAATGTCGAGAAATTTAGGTCTGTCAGCTTTCATGACACTGTGGCAGACTAACTTGTTAGCTTGCAAGTAAACCTCAGGCTTATTACAGGTTTTGATATCTTTCCCTTAATTTAAGGTTAGCGCTAGTAATATCCTGCTATTTCTCAGACAAAAATAAGGTCTTTTTTTAAAAATTACCAATACTAAAGAATATATGAACTTGTTTTATTAAAAAAAATCAGTTAAAAATGCTTTGAAATAAAACCATGACTCACACATAATACAATGAAAATTGTATTTAGCTCATGAATTAAAGAGGGAACCAGCCAGAAGTCACAAATGCTTCAAAGCAGAAGTCAAAGACAAATTTATATAAAATAAAAGAATGCTAAAAATCTATTTACGAATGGAGAAAAACTGTTTTTTTTTTCTATGGAGGTGGAATTGAGTAGGGTAGTGGAGTAGACTGTGTTGAAGACTTATCAGACAGAATTTATTTGCATATCTATTGACAAGAATGATTTGCATTTGCTATGAGTTATCCACAATTTTCAGAATTGTAAAGTAATTCCAATACAAGGAAAAACACAAGCTCCAGATAATCAGATAACTGGGAAATGTGTGCTGTAAATGAAGCCCAGTTTTCCTTTGGAGGCCTGCAATATTCTTTTTTGCTCATTCCAAAGTCTTAAATTTTCCTTACACCAATAAAATACACTATAAGATTTTTTTTCAAGGAATCGAGCTAACGTGGGAGAATTAAAAGAAGAACAGAAAGTGATTTTTAAAAGTAAGCCTAGACACACAGAAATAAAATAGATATTGAAAGAGTTTCTAATTATCTGATCTGAAGATGGGATCAGACAGGGCAGAAGAGCATTTCATTAAACTATTTTATAAAAAATTGTATTTATATTTATTAAATTTATCGGGGTGGCATTGTTTGATAGGTTCATACAGGTTTTAAGTGTACATTTCTATGATACATGATCTGTATATTGCATTGTGTGTCCACCGCCCAAAGTCAAATCATCTTCCGTCACCAAATATTTGGTCCTTTCCTTCCCCTCTCTTCCCCACCCCCTTCCATTTGGTAACCACCATACTGTTGTCTGTGTCTATGAGTTTCAGTTTTGTATCCTACATGAATGGGAAGTCCTAAGTATGTCAGTGATCCAAGCAGTTCCCTCTACTGGCCACTAGGTGCTGCTAAGCAGGCATGATGACCTGTGGCAGGAGAAGTAGGAGTTGGGGCATCTAATCCATCCCTGGTAATGTTCAGCTGATTAACAAATTTAAAAAGCTACTTGGCAGCAAGACATTTTACCTAGTCCAGGGCATATAGTAAGCATTCAAAACATATTTCTTAAAATATATTATTCAGAACACAGGTGGCTGCTTTTATACTTTAGGCGTCTAAGAAATATGATTATTTCAGAGTAAGCATTCTTTAAGACATTTGATCATATTTGGACAAAGTTAGAAAACATTAGTGTTTGGAAGTCACTTGGTTAATTAAACAATGAGGTAAATTTAGCCACAAAATCAGACTTGGTGAATCTCTGAACTGTTTCCATTGCCTGAAATACAGACATTGCAAAATACCTGTTTAAATGCAGACAGGGTAAACCATCCCTTTATTTGGTTTCTGTTTTGCTCAGGTGCCATCAAATGTAGATTTTTTCACTCCTACTCCCTCAAACTTTCTAACAATTTTCAACTAATTTGGTACAATAAGAAACTGACAGCAAACCACCTCCAATTTTATGTAATCTATATTAACATAAAACGAAAAGTGAAAATGGAGGGCCAATGACCAGTGGTTAATACAGAGTTGGAAGAAAGGAGGCGAGTGAATCAGGAGGCTGTTAGAAAACCTCAAGAAGAGATTTTCCTGTTGCTGAATTTTCTGGGGCTTTGCCTAGGCAGGGGCCTTTCATTCTTCTGTTGTTAAAAGTGCCCCGATTTTACTTTGCGGGGTGAGCCCTCCCCCATCAGGCACTGTCCTGATGGGCTGTCAGTTCACATGCTTGCCTGTCAGATGGCTGAGAGGTAAGCACTGAGCCAAGCGAGCGAGGCCCGTCAAAGGCCTGGTCCCTGGAAACTATTGCAAAGCCTGAAAGCCACCGAAATTCTTTCAGCATTGTGTCTCAAAGAAACCACCCACTTGTTCTTGCTTCCTGATTTCTATGCTTTCAAAGACCTGAGTCCTTTTTTCTTTTCTTTTTTTTTTGGAATCTGTGAGCTTTTTAATTTTTTTTAAATTCCTATTTGCCTTTGTCAGTCAGAGTTGGCTTCTAATGACTGAAGCAAAAAATTCTGACTGATGCAATGAGGAATGAGAAGTAGTCAAAAATCTAGTCCTATGTTTACTGCTACGATTTCTGTTGAATTTATCATTGACAAGGATCAGAATACATGTTATTATCCTCATCTTACAAATGAGAAAACTGAGGCACAGAGTGATTAAATAACGGATTTTCACTTGGCCCCATAAATGTTCTCAATGTTTGTTGTGTAGAATACTAGTTTTTCAAGATTGAATTACTTTCCTGGGGCTGCTGGCACGAAGTACCACAGGCTGGTAGCTTAAACCGACAGAAGTTTCTTGTCTTACAGTCCTGGAGGTTAGAACTCGGAAATCAAGGTGTTGGTAGGGCTGTGTTCTCTATGGCTCTTCTAGGAGAGGATCTTGCTTGCTTCCTCTAGCTCTGGTGTTTGCAGGTAATCCTTGGTTTGTAGATGTATCACTCCAGTCTCTGCCTCTGTTGTCACAGGGCAGTCTGCACTCTGTGTTTCACCGCTCTTCTAATGAGATCACTAGTCACATTGGATTAAGGGCCCACCTACTCGAGTATGACTTTATTTTAAGTAAACTAATTATATCCCTCAAACCCTATTTCCAAGTAGGATCACATTGTAAGATGCTGGGGAGTAGGATTTCCTTTGGGGGGATACAGTTCAACCTATAATAAGAATGTTAGTAGAAATTGTTGAAAAAAGGATTCTGTGGTCAAATAAATCTGGGAAAGACATGATTAAACATCACTGTAATAGGATTCTCTGCTGTAATACTTGAATTTGTTCATCTAAAATGGAGTCACCAAGTCAGGACTGTAAAGTACAGTTTCTCAAAATGTATATATATATATATATATTTTTACAAGCCTACTGTAGGTTTAGCATTTTGTGTTACACATGGTTCTCAGGCTGATGGGAGGCCCCGGGATCCTGGGAGGTCTCTTCCTACTGTTCTGGTTCTGTCTCTTACTTGCTATGTCACCTAGAGAAAACTGCTTGATTTTCTGAGCATGAATTTATTTATGTCTAAGATAGAGACAATAATAAACTTTCCCCTACAGGTTTCTTATAAGGACTGCAATAAATGAGGCTGGCTAAAAAACACCTAGAAGAGTACCTGGCATAGAAGTGGACATTCATTTAATAGTAGCTACCTTTGTTATGCTAACCCGTTGGTTTTTAATTTCTTGGCATTTTTATTAAGCATGTTCAAAATCTCATGAATGATTTCTAAGCCAGGACTATTTCTACCAATAAGGTTTTCTTGTTCATTTTCCTCTTCCTTTGACAAGTTTTCTTCTCTTTAGGAGAATGAGTTTCTTTATGGTAATAAAAATTTACACATCCTTTTCATAAGCCTCCAACATTAACACAGAGTGGGTTGTTTCTCTCTAAAGTTCCTTATTCTGTCTTCCCCCTCATTGAGGGGAAGAGGATGTGATCACATGATCTCCAGCCAAAGGGAAATTGTGAAAGGGCCCTCACGACAGAAAAGCAGCCATAATTGCCTCAGCTCTCAGAGGAGGCTGAGCTTCTGAGAGGACTTGCTGAGTGGACCCAGCCATCTGTTTGTCCAGCCAACATGGAACCAAAGCGGATCAGGGAGGGCTACCTTGTGAAAAGGGTAAGTAGAAATGCCACCTACAAGGGTGTCGCTGGAGATAGGGTTGAGGAGGGCTGGAGCCCAGCTTGATACTCTCTATGCACTCATTTTACCAATGTTTGGTGCTGAACCCATTGGGCTGGACTAGGAGAACATCAGAGCATGTAGAATGTTCAGGGGGCAGCCAGTACAGGTTCCATTTCATTCTGGTTCGTAAAGTTGAACTAATTCAGCTCAGGTGTCAGCACAGCTTCATCTTGTGGGACTGAGAACCCCAGGCTATAGGGTCTGGAAGCTGAGGGTCTAAGCAAAATTCCTCATTGACAGTATTCTTTTCAAGAGCCTGTTATGCTAAAAAAAAACTCAAGCTCTTCTGCTATAGAGGTTATTTGGAGAGACTATTTATTTGTTATTTAAATTCTAATTGCCCTGCTGTTTTTTGGAGGAGAGAAGAAAATGATCAGAGATGAGCTGATAGAATGATACTATAATTGTAGCTTATTTCTTGGGCTTTCTTCTTAGAATTGGTGCATTAAAAACTCTATCTTTTTTATTGGGCTGAAATCTCTTCATTCACAATCCTTAGTGAATTTATATGACATGCCATGAGGTGGTAGGTAGTGCACCGTTTTAAAGGCTGGAAAAATAAGGACACAAGTACACTCAGAAATGCTTAGTCTCACTGGTGTGACATCAGGAAATTGCATTTTATTAGTATTGTGGTTTTTCTTGTGAGAGTGGGTAGGTGCCATGTCACTGTGAAACTCCCCAGGGTGTGGAGTTCACACATGCTGCTTACGGTCATCCTGTGGACAACCTACATAAGTAAGTACATTCACACAGATCCTAGTGAGCTAAGCGTGTCAGAAATCAATTGAACCCAGTACATTCCTTCAGATGCTCAGCTTTTTAATTGAAAGAATGACTGCTGTGACTCTTTCAGGTTGTTCTTTGGTTTAACATTTTAGCCAAAATGTTCTACTTATAAGGAGGTTAAACAACACACATTGCTGCCTGACTCTCTTTTAATTTAAAGGTGGAAGGGACCTTAGATTGTCTGGCTTCATTCCCTCATTAACAGAAGAGGAAATTGAGTCCCAGAAGCTGGGTGACTGCCCAAGGTCACATGTGTGTGACAGACCATAAATCCACTTTTTGAGACCTGAGTTTCTCACTTGTGGCACTGAGCTCTGTCCAGTATCCCAGGAATTTCTCAGAATAAATTTAATCAAAAATTTGTAATTCATCTATGGTAGTGAGAGGTATGAGTGGATGCAAAACTAGAATAAATGAGGCCTCAGCTAATATTCTCTCTAGCTGGGCATATTTTGAAACATCCTTTGGAAAAGACACAGATATATACACAAAGGTTTATGTAGATTCTTTGCAATAGGTTTATTTCTTTCCTGATTGCTTGGGCTAGTATCTTGAGAATAGCAGGTATGTGAAAACATTTTCTGCAAATGTTTTTTGTTGGTTTAAAAATAATTTAAACATCTTGTAGTGAAAATTGTTATTAAGTATGTATTTTCATATATTAAACTCTATAAATTACAAAAAAAAAATAGGAAACTAATCTCTAATAAGTAAGTTTGCCCCATCAGAAAATGGGGATGATAAAGTTAGGGTTCTCAAGCATATGAACTTAAATTAATAGTTTTTAATTCTTTCAGGTCATGGCCTGTAAAAACCAGTCTAGGAAAATGTAACTAGAAAGAATAGTGAAATTTTATATTGCTAATTCCAGAATTTACATCTTCAGTAATTTTTGCATTTTCTCTGGGACATTTTGAACACTCTGTTGTAATGTATTAAGATTCCCTAATTTGCCATTTTATCTAATTAATTAATTATTTTTAAAAACCTATAACTCCTTTGTTTTTTTTTTTTAAGATTTTTATTTATATACTTTTAGAGAGAGGGGAAGGGAGGCAAAAAGAGAGGGAGAGGAAAATCGATGTCTGAGAGAAACATTGATGGATTGTCTCCAGCACTCCCCCAACCAGGGACCTGGCCCTCAACCCAGGCATGTGCCCTGACCAGGAATTCAACCAGCTACCTTTCAGTTTTCAGGACGATGCCCAGCCCACTGAGCTATACCAGTCAGGGCACTGATTTGTCATTCTAAAAAAATGCTTGCTTCAGTAATACTCCCTTTGTTGGCTATAGAACTACACCTGAAGCCAGAATTTCTTGGGAAGGTGCTGAAGTTCTTAATTTCTAGATGTTAAGTTTCTTTCAGATACTTCATATATGTGGTTAAAACATATATTTATGTTACATACACATATTATATTATATATACATATATACACACGAGTGTATAATACGGGTGTATATATATTATATGTGTGTATATAATTATATGTGTACATATTATACATACACGTAATATATATTATATACACACATATAGTTATATGTGTACATATTACACACACACATATTATATATATAAATACGCATAGTATGTACTACATAAGTGACAATGATTTTCAGTGTCCGTGTTGATATATATACACTTCAATAGATAGAAGTCCTCTTCTAGATTCTCATGGGGATATATACTTGTTCCTGGGTTGGTTGCCAAGTTAATAGTGAAGAAAGGACCAAGAAAATCTTTTTCTGACAAGGTGGTGAGAATTCTTTGACATGTTAAAGCATGACAGGCAGTCATGTATGAATCTCCCTCCATGCACATTTTTTTCTTATGCCATTTCAGATACCTGGGTGATAATAAAAATACCTTTCTCCTTATTCTTATTTTACAAAATAATTTTATTAGCAATAAAGATGGTTTATGGGGTGGAAAAAATACAACATTAAGAAAACTCTAGTGAAAGGTTTTGTCAAGTCAGAAATCTTGGGGTCAATAGTCAATGATATTTACTATAAAATATTTCTGCTTTTCTTCTGTGCAAGATAACTGCTCAAATTTTACAAATTTGACTTTACCTCCTAAGATCTTTAAATAGAGACGATGGCTAAGAGAAGAAGAGGAAATACGTAATTCTGTCATTTTGCAATTTTTTTCATTCTTAATAAGAGCCAGATTTTCTTGTCTCATAAACTTGCCACATTTTAATTTAAAAAAAAAAGCATTTAGAAGAGACTATGGGAGCTAAAAATAATTTTTTTTTCCACTGTCTGGCTGGCCTTATAATCAAATGAACAGAAATAGAGTAACAGGAGAAAATCAAATTTTAATACATGCTGATGGAGAATTCACATAAGCATGAAAATTCTAAAGACAACGAGGCAACTTTGGATATATATGACATTTTTGACAAAGGAGAAAAGGCGTGGGAGAGGGGGTCTTAGATTTCAGAGGTGAGATTAGGTGATTTACAGGTAGTTGAGAATGAGCAGAATATACAGGGCAGGCAAATCCATGCTAGGTGAGTAAGGAACAATGGGACACAGGGTACGTAAGCTAAAGTCCCCTGCCTGAAGCCCTCTATTTACCCCATTTGATTCAAATTAGGTTAAGGCAACATTCTAAGATTTCCTTACTGGAGTAGGTTTTTCTTTTCCTTTTCTTTTTAAATAGTTCATTATTTTATTGTATTTTTTTTTCCATTACCATTTATCCCTCCACACCCGCTTCCACCTCCACCCGCCCCTCCTCCCTACACTGTTGTCCGCATCTATGGGTTTTCTTTTTCTCTTGATCCCTCCACCCCCAACCCCCACTCACCGTCCACACCCCACTCCTGCCAGAGCTGTCAGCCTGCTGTCTATCTCTGAGTCTGTCTCTATTGTGCCTCTTACTTCAGCTTGTTCATTAGATTCCAGATACGAGTAAATTCATATCTGAACTCTTGCGCAGAAAAGTGGGGAGGACCAAAGTTTCTTTCTGAGTTCTTTTTTAAAGAAACCCTCACCTTAAGGTATGCTTATTAATTTTAGAGAGGGAGGGCAAGAGGGAGAGAGAGATTGAGAGAGAGAAATATAGATGTGAGAGAGAAACACTGATCTGTTGTTTCCTGTACACGCCTTGACCAGGGATTAAACCCGCTGCCTAGGTGAGTGCCCTGACCGGGATTGAACCTGCAATCTTTTGGTGTACAGAACGACACTCCAACCAACAGAGCCACCTGGCAAGGTCTCTGAGTCTTACTTCTCAATAACCAGGTCAAAACTGATATCCCAAAAGGCAGTTTCCGGGTGGCAAAACTTTGCTTCCCTTCACTACCATGTAGCAGCCAGTTGCTCTTCGAGCATGATCTCATTCAGTCCTAACCATCCTATACAATAGTGTCCTTATCCCCCTCTTACAGATGGGAAAACTAAGACTCAGAGAGAATAAATAACATGCCCAAAGTCAAACAACTGGTGAGAAGACCGCCTGGGATTCAAACATAGGCTTATCTAACAGCAAAACCCATGGTCTCATTGACCCTATGCAGCATTCTGAAAGGCAGGATTACCCAGACCAGCAAAAGGAAGGTCAGATGAATTTACCAGACAGAGCCAGAGTGGGGCCTGGACAAACTGTACTTATGGGCAAGATTAGGTTTTGTGACCTCAACCTCCCTTTCTCTCTGATTAGGAGTTACTCCCAGCTAATAAACATAAATGTCTTTTGGATGTCCTTGAAAACATACTACTGATTTGGATATGTTTATAAGCATAGCTTAAAAAAAGAGAGAGGAGCAGGTTATGCAATTAATAACCTGGACTCTTCCACACCACGTCCCAAACCAACCTTATTCCTAGAGGTCTATGGAGCAAACTGTTGTTGAGTGTTTGACAACCAATCCAACAGGAACTTCATGCAGCAGAGTGGGCCAAAAAAGAGGTTTAGGGATTGGGTGGCCTGTTAAGCTGGGAAAAAACACAGGAGGTGGGGTGCCCAAGGACAAGTTGGTTGCGTAGGAAAGAAAAGGGCCTGAAGAGAGGTGTGGTAGGAGGAGGAAAGCCTGGGGTGAAAAAGAGAGCAGGAGTCAGGGGTGTTGGCTTTGGATCTCTTTCATACAACTACCTTGTCTTCTGGACACAATACTGTTGCATAATCTCCA